ATTCTTAATCGTTTGATGAGACGTTACACGAACATTAATTCTCCGAACCAATAGAATTGATGAACGTCACGAAATGATCTACAAAAAAGTTAACCAATCACAACGAAAGCCCGCTATGCTTCCGTGCTGCGCATACTTACCCGTTCTTGAGCAATCACGATCCAAAAAGTGTCCACACTTATATGGTAGGCCACTGTATATTGAATTCACCTTGCTTTAACTGACCCCCAAATATGGAAACAGTGATCTGATTACGTATTACACAATTGTTAAAGAAAATCTTTTAAACATACATACGTTTTATAATATCTTTTTTAGAAGCTCGGGTGTAATGTTAATTTTCAATTAAAATTTACTGTGCATCTACACATCTGTTTAAAAGAAAATGAGCGCAAAATTTTGTTTCTGTGTGCAGCGTACAGTTCACACAGCGAAAAATAATCACTGCTCGGGTGGCTTATCTCTTCCATTCAACGGGGGTAAATTATAGATGAACTTGAAGCTCTCACCTTGCCTTACAACATATTCGTTTAATCTTTCTTAATCCCACAACTTTCTTTTTACGTTTCACCTGCCAAAGTTATAGGTAATTAGCAACCACTACGTTGATAAAATCTTGTTTGTTGTGCGAAAAAAAGTAGCAAAAAAAAAAAAAACTTAAAATAATGGTTAACAATAGTGTAGGAGGAAGAAATTAAGTTATATATTTTTTTTATTATACGTGTTGTATAGAAACCTTTTAGAATGTTGAGAATATATGAATAATATTAATTAACTACGCAATATCTTAATATTATCACTATAAGATACGATAAGAAGTTATAGATGATATGTATTAAAATCACGAAGATTTTTTATTAGAATTATAATTTTGTAAGATAGAATAGTGTAAGAGATTAGAAATTTAAGTAGAATTAAACGTAGTATTAAGAATTATACACGTAGATTATTATTATTGAAGTTTGTAAATAAATAAAAATAAATACCATGAAAAATTAATAAATTTAATAAATACTTGCTTGCTTATCTAATAGTAACATTTAATGGCATTTATTTTGAACTTTTAGCTATAAATTTCAATAAATTTTCGTTTTCTTTCGTTTTATAAAAATTTACGATTTGATTGGTTAATCAACATGTGATATTTTCACATGATAAAAATTTACGATTTTAATTGGCAGAACCAATGTGCATGATCGGGATCATCATTTCCTTATTTGTGACGTTCCAAAAAATATAAAAAAAAAATTTTATCAATTGTGTAACGATCCGCAAAATGATGGGACGGTCACTTCCGCTACTTTTCGCTAATGCGAAATCAACATTTCAAATCAATAAAGCACCAAAAGATATTAAATTAACTCAAACAAAACCTTCTCAAAAATTAATGTCAAAGTTATACAAGACTCGTAGAATATTGATAAAACGAACACAATCAGTACATAAGATATCTAAACTAAAGAAGGAAATAAGAATGCAAAGGAAAGATAGTTCAAAGCTCGACCAAGTTATTGAACTTGAGCGTAAAAGATTAAAAGAGGTTAGTAAAAAAATTTGGGAAAAACAGCCACCACCGCCACAATATCTCTATAGTGACGCACGAACAGATCAAAAAGTTGAAAAATACATTATTGAATGGAAAAAATTAAGTGATAATATACCATTAAGGTTGATAAAGATATTCTTGAGCTCAGATCACAACATTAAAGTCAAAAGCCATGGTCCTAAACAGGCATTTATGATATTTAAAGAGTTATTAAGTAAAGGTCAATTAAGGGATGTACCTTTTTATGATATTCAACGACTTGCAGGATACTTTGCAAAGGTCCATCAACGTAATGCGATATTTGTATTGGAAGCCGCATTGGAACATGGGTTTAAGTTATCTTATTTCGATTATCATATGTTGATTGTTTTGTATAGAAAAATCAAAGATAGAATAGGTGCAATTCGAACAATAGAAGAGATGAAAAATCTAGGATTTGAACTTACTAGTGAAGATTACTGTGAACTTCTACAGTGCATAATGAGTAATAGTGGTGATATTTTACTGGCTAAAAAATATTTGAATGAGATGAAATCAAAGAAACTCCATCTAAGCTATAATGCGTACATGGAATTAATTAATGGCTTTATTGAACACAATGATATAAGGGGAGCCGGACAATTATTTATCAATATGATACAAGAAGGTTTAGCGGCTCCAAATATTTTTATACCTAATGATCAAAACTCGGATAAGCCAATGGAATCAAATAATTTGATAAATTGGGAAAAAAATCTCTTAAAACAAATTTATATTATATTTATTCAAACTTTTGTTCATCATGATAATTTGCACCAAGCCAAAAAATACTATGATAAATTATTAGGTGTAAATTCAGCACCAGATCCTGAAATTGTAAAAATAATGATAAATTCATGTTTAAATAGAAGAGAAATTATATTAGCAAAACATTTGTTAAAACGTTCGGGTCTTACCACGGAATCCCGACAGCCAAAATCCAGACACCAAAATCCCAATAGTACTAAAATTCTGACACCCAAAATCCCGACATCAAAATCCCGTCACTTCCAAAATCCCGACAGCACCGAATCCCAACAGTACCAAAATCCCGACACCTACATAGATTCCGACACCCAAAATTCCGACCATGTCAAAATCCCGGCAATGCCAAAATCCCGACAGTGCCAAAATCACGACAATGCCAAAATCCCGACATTACCAAGATCCCAACGATGCCAAAATCCTAACACTATCAAGGTCCCGACAGTGCCAAAACCCTGACTGGAGAGTATATCGGGCTTTCCGATTGGTTAATTTGTAGTTCATTTCGTGATTTTACAAAATCTGATTGGCTAATAGACTTATTCCAAAAAAACCTCAAAGTAAAATACAGTATTTTGCATTTAATAAAAGATTGAATGAAAGATACAATTATGTAAATTTAATAATTACAATAATTTATTACTACTTGGATCTAATAATTAGTCATATATAATTTGGTTAGATTTAAAAAAAAACATTGATTTAAATTTTAACAATCTATTAGATATGTATATAAAGAGCCTTGTATTAAAACTTAATCATTAACAATAAATAATAATAAGAAAATAATAATTAAATTAATATAAATGAATTAAAAAAGATAATCAACTACAAGTAAAAAGTATATAAAACTTAAACTTTTTTTATTTATTGTCGCAAATTAAAATGAAATCTAAGGTTGATCTTTAGTATAGGTGAGCATATATAATTATTATACAATTATAACATATATAACTTAACTATTTTGAACTAATTTAAGTAATTTTATAAATTATTAGAGTCAGGATAAGGTTAGGATTTAAATTGGCTCAAATTAGTTAGGTTTTATATATTATAATCTTGTAATATTTTATATATGCCCACCTATACTAAAGGAGATCTGAAATCTGATCAAAATGAAACTGGGAATCTCTCATACCCACCCTTAGAGCCTATAAAATCTATATATACTCATTTATTAATAAACCTAACCCTAAACCCTACCCCTAATGCTAAAAAGAACCCCAAAAAATGTTCTTCAAAAAATTTTAAATTTTACTTAAAAAACAGAAAATTTTTGTTTTGATCAGATTTTGTTTTAATTTGTGACATTTATTATATAATATCATAGTAAAAACTTTGTTACAAATAGAAAAATATTCTAAACCTAAAGATTTCTAAATTACATATGTATTACATAAGGCATCCAATGTGATATTACATCTTTATTTCCTATAAAACACTAAGGTTAAAGAAAATCTAAGGTGATAATCATGGAATTAAATAAATATGCCTTTTTTTAACTTCAACTCAACTTTAATCCTGACTTTAACAATAATTAATTTTAGTATTTTTTTAATTCTATTATATAATATGATTGGCCAATTACAATTATTACAGTGTCATTGCTGGTAACAACTAGATTTTTCCTTAAACTATTCTTATTTTTTATATAATTTATAGTACTATTACAAAATCCTAACATTTAAAATCTTAACAAGCTATAATACTAACTAGTGATTTGCCTAGGTAGGTATCATCCAGGTCATCCATGAGTGGGTGGGTGACCCGAGTTAAGTTATGACAACTCAGGTGAAAATAGGTGGGTCAACCAGCAAGTTGACCCATGGGTAACCCATAGGTTGACCCACGAGTGAGCCATGAGTTGGCCCACAGATTGACTTATAAGTAATAGTTTTGCAATATATTGCTTCTGAAGATAAATCAGCCGGAACTGTTATCATATATATATTTTATAGCTGTTATCATTATTTCTGAAACACCTTATAAAAAATTAACTAAATGATTATTCTGCTGATTTGATATTGATTTCGGCATAATTAATGTAATATTTATTATCAATAATGCCTTTACATATATATATATATACATAATTTTTAAATTAATTACTAATTGTGAAACAATAAGCTTTTAAATGACCTCTATTTGTGGTGCAGCAGTGACAATTATTAATTGTTAATGACCAAATAACTAATATCAATATAATTTGGTTAAATGATACTTTCGAAGCATATTTGCTAAAAAAAATTTAGAAAAATTATCAGTTTAAACAATTGTTAAACACTTTAGTATTAATAAACTTCAGAGCTGGCACACAAAGTCTAGTAATGTTGGCAAAATTTTTGTAATACAAGTCAATAATCAAGTGCCACTATAATGTTCATATGTATAATTTGTAATTTTAGAGATTCTATTGTATCGAAACGATAATTAGAATAATGAAAATTTTTCAATTGAATCAGTATAAAATCATTTTAGAAATAATGAAAATAGCTGTAATTGATATTAACCACTCGAGTTTGTTTTTTAATTAACCTAGTGATCTATCAGATGATTTATCAGGTGATCTGTCAGGCGATCTGGGTAGTGACTTTTTTAAACTGATATGTTTTCACCTAGGTGGCATGTTGTTTACTTGACAGGTGATCTGAGTGAAGATTTTTTAGACAGGTCAATTCACTAATACTGATATTGTGTGATGTGACAATTAAAATTTAAAGTCTGACAATGATTGTTAATGTAATTACTAATCTTTAAATATTAATTGTTATGCTAAGATTATGGTTTTGAGATTTTGAATGTTAGGATCTTGTGGTAGAATTATAATTTATATATTTATAACTTGATTATTAAGTTTTTATTAGAGAAGAAAAATAAGTATAGTTAAACTTCTCTAAATATAATCTTTATAAATATAATACCTTTTTAAATATATATTTTTGGTTTGGCTATATAAAATCTTTAGTGCTAAATATATATTTTATATTTTACAAATGCATATTTACTAAAAAGATTTTTATATTAAGCTATATAAAAAATTTTTTAGCTTTTATAATCCAGCTGGGTCAAAATTTAAAAATTTGTAAAAATTTTTTTATATATATTAATAACTGGATAGATTTTTAAAAAAATTAAAAAGGGTGTGACAACTTAGTAAAGTGGTTAAGTTGTTGCACCCAAGTGGTATGTTGGCAGGTTGAAGTTTAAAACTTATCTAATAATGAAATTTTGCTTATACAACAGCTATTGTCTTTTGATGATCAGTTAGAATAGAATCTCTGTAACTTTAGTGGCACTAACAAGATTAGAAGATTATAGAATATTTGTACAATGTATAAATTATATAAAGGCATACAAGCTAGTATTAGATAGTGCAAACCTAAGATAAGTTCTTGTAATCATATTAATTTAAGAAACTGAAAAGATAGATGCTTGCTTAACAAAATCTGAGTAGAGAAATAGTATAGACTTTTTATTGTAGCTACTAAAATAGGCTTTATCTGAGGCCAGTTAACTAGACATGACAAAAGCATCTAGCAAGTTGCTCTACCAACTAGGCTGCTAGCATAAGTATCGACCAAAGGAAAAAAATTAGCAAATATTACAAAACTGATGTTCTTTTTGGATTATCTAAATTGGTAGTCTAAAGAGACCAGCTAGAAGGTACTAAAAACAAAGGTATTGAGTTGTCTTGAAGAAAAAATGCCAAGGTTTGAATAAACTTTACAAGGGCTAAGTAGATAATGATCCTTGGACTTGATATAAATTATCAAAGTAGACTAGATAATTTGGTAATAGTAGATATGAAATATGAAAAGTAACTATAGAAAATAGCAATGCTCTTAATTAGGCAATAATTAAAGTTATACATATATTTATGTGTATTTTCATTAAAATATATTTGTCTAAGACCCCTTGAAAAAGGCACTATATAATTTTACAATCTAATAAAAGTGATAAGCTAAAAAGGTTAACCTTGACTATAAAAAAATTTAAAAAAATTTATAAAATTTTTATATATAAAATTTAAAAAAAGCTGGCTAGCCAGATCTGTTTAAACAGTTCTATATTATGAAAACCAAAAAAATTTTTTGTATAAACTTATACTAATTTTTCTAAATGTATATAGCTAATTAAAATTTAGTATTTAAGTAGTATTATACAAGCTTGCAAATCAAATATTAAAGCTACAATTTGATTAGCTCTTTCTAAATACAAACTTCTTTAAATATGTATTTTAAACTAGTCTGTATATATTGTATTTAGAAAGATTTAACTATAATAATTTTTATATATCTATATTTTTGTACTAGTTTGTTTAAATTTATATAAATTTAATAATTTGAATCTTAAGGTAAAGCCATGTCTCTAACTTTATTAAAACTCAATTGAATCTCTTTACAAAAAAATTTGAATTTTGATATAAATTTAAGATTAATTTAGATTAAATTTAAAATAATACTTTATTAAAAAAGTTTTATAGTATAAATTTATACAAATTTTTTAAAAAAATTAATTATTAAAATTTTACAAAGATTTATAATTCTGCTAATAATCAGCAAAAATTTTTTTTACAGATCTACATTATATATACTATCAAAATAGGTTTCAAAAAAACTCTATTTCATCTTAATTAGAGCAAATTAGAATTTTTTATATACAAAAGCAAATCTAATTTAGGTAATTATATTTTTTATAATTTTGTCTTTAAAAAAAAGCATCAAAAATTTTATTTTTAATTGACGATTCTCCAGTCAACTGAAGAATGATCATAGTGAAACGTGACGCAGTTCTATATATAAATTACTAT